TATCAAAATGACCATGGATTTATGCACAGGAATATTTATATTAGATTTATTTGTAAATTGTGAGAATTTAGGAGAAAAATCTATATAATTAAATAATTATATACAATTATCCAAGAAAATTCTACCCAGCATTTTAAAGCCTTAATTTGGAAAAATATTTAATGCCATAATAAAATGCTCCAGACAAAGTGTTGTAATTACTCAATGTTGAAAGCAAAAAGACACATTTATACATAGAAAAAATTTGGAATCAGTGCACCTACTTTGGAGAGTAATTTGGCAATGCCTGTGAAGTTGAAAATGTGCAGACCCTCCAACCGAACATTAATATGATTGATATACCCATAGATAAGTAGTTGTATAATCCTATGTAATAAAAGACAAAAAGGGTAATTGACCATACCTTCGCTATGCTTCCCATTGGCTAATCAGGGTGATATGCAAATTAACCGCCAACCAAGATGGCGGCCGGCAGCCACGCAGCTGAAGCGAGCAGGAGGCCTGCTTGCTCCAGTGATGGAGGAAGCCAAGGTTCCCCCCTGTCGCGGCCTGGCTCTGAGCTCCGAAAGCAACAAAGTTTCAATTATAGAAGCTAAACAAACCCCAGATACCTGCTTTCAGCAGGCCGTAGCCTCAGAGCTGGAGCAGGCTCTCGGCTCCAGTGACAGCAACAAAGTTTCAATTATAGAAGGTAAATAAATCCCAGAATAAAAACGAAAAAAAAGGAGAGGCTGGGAGCTTCAGTCACCGGCCAGCCTGAAAACGGCCCTCAGCCCCTCACCCAGGCTGGCCAGGCACCCCAGTGGGGACCCCCAACCTAAAGGGGGTGTGACTAGCTGCAAATAGCCATTAGCTCCTCACCCAGGCTGGCCAGGCACCCAAGCGGGACCCCCACCCTGATCCAGGAAACCCTTCAGGGCAAACCAGCTGTCCCCCACCCGTGCACTAGGCCTCTATCCTCCTCCTATATAATAAAAGGGTAATATGCAAACTGACCCTAACAGCAGAAAGACTGGGAATGACTGATCACTATGACACACACTGACCACCAGGGGGCAGATGCTCAATGCAGGAGCTGATCCCTGGTGGTCAGTGCGCTCCCACAGGGGGAGCTCTGCTCAGCCACAAGCCAGGCTGATGGCTGCCAGTACAGTGGTGGTGGTGGGAGCCTCTCCTGCCTCCTCAGCAGCGCTAAGGATTTCAGACTGCAGCTTCGGTCTTCTCCCCGCTGGCAAGTGGACATCCCCCAAGGGCTGCCAGGCTGCCAAAGGGATGTCTGATTGCCATCTTAGGCCCAATCCCTTGGGGAGCAGGCGTAAGCCAGCAGGTGGTCATCCCCCGAGGGGTCTCAGACTACGAGAGGGAATAGGCTGGGCTGAGGGACACCACCCTCCCCCCCCCCGAGTGCACAAATTTCTGTGCACCAGGCTTCTAGTCATATGATAAAGTGCTACTCAGATGTTAAATATTAATGAATTGGATCAATATATCTGCAGGAGAGATAGATCGATATATCTCAATAGAGGTAGCTCTCAAAACAATGTTGAATTTTATAAAGCAAGTTGCCAAATGATATACAGTATATGGTAATATTTGCATAAAAATGTAAAATACATATAATAATACCAAATATTGTCTGTGTGTTTGTGTGTGTGTGTGTGTGTGTGTGTGTGTGTGTGTGTATAATACCATCAGAACCATGATGGTGGTGCCCTTTAGGGTGGGAGGGAGAGGAATGAGACTAAAAAGGGAAATAGGGTGGGGGTGAGGGATAGTATTTAACTTCATCTGTAATGTTTTCTAAGTCATTAATTTAAAAAAATAAACATAACTGACAAAATGCTTACATTGTGTATTTGGAATGGTAGTTCAAGTTTATTATATTAATCTTTCTTATGTGTGCTTTTAAAATTTTCTATAAACAATAATTAAGAGAAGGTACATATATGTTTGCAGTGGTTACTATTCAGCAGAAAGATTACAGTTCCATTTTTATTTTCATTTTCAAACTTCTCTGCATTTTCCAAATTCACAAAATGAATGCTGAGAAAATTAGAGCCACTTACAGATAAATAACCAATAGCTGTACCAAGCGTTTCTAAGGCCCTTACACTTGAGCTGCCTCTAGAAGGCTGACGAATGGACAAAAATAGGATGATTCTCCCACAGACAAAAGGAAGTAGAGGGCTGGCTGCCTTCACGGTGTGGAGATGTAAAACCGGCCATATCTTGGGAAGGGGGAGGGAAGGGTGTTATTCTAAGCCACTGGTCTCAAACTTGGGCATGCATCAGAATCACAGAGAGGGCTTGTGAAAAAACAGGTTGTCCCCCGAGTTTCTAATTCAGTAACTGGGGCCAGGCCTATGAATTTGCATTTCTAACAAGTTCCCAGATGTTATTGACAATGATGATGCTTGTCTCGGGACCAGGCCTTGAGAACTTCTGGTGTACGCAAAACCCAGCCATCAGATACTTGTATTTTTAATTGTTGAAATATGAGGGAGACATTTGGCAGGAATCACTCCAATGTTATTATCTGGCAGATCACAAATTACTCAACGGAGCCAGCCAGCCAGTCTCAGGGAAGTTGGAGTCACATGCTAGAGCAGACAGATAAACAAAAAGTCATCAGGGAGTTAGAAAACTCAAAAGTGAGAAAATGAGAGTGATCTCTAATGATCAGACACCACTGAAGAGATTTATTTAGGAGAAAAGCAAGGTAATAAAATGAGCATGAAAAAGGACTTTAAAAAATAAAAAAGTCTTTGTAATACTTTAAGCAATAAAAAAATAAAAATAAAAAATAAAAAGTTTCAGTCATCAGGGTCTGTTGCTGTTTGACAAAACTGGGGATCCAGGATGGCACAAAGTTTCTCTCCCATTCACATTTGTCACCAGCACTGGGTATTCCCCTCGGCCGGGGACTCCTTGAGAAAGAGGGACTGTCCCTTCCTTGACTGACCCTTCCTTGCTCTCTCTGTCCTTTCTCATCCTCCCTTCATCCCACTTGCCTTTCTATTTGTTCTGCCAGACCGAGCAGCACTGTAGTGCCAAGCGTTATGCTAGGCTCTGGATAAAGTAGTGTCTTACCATCTTTGAACTACAGGACATACTAGCAGCATAGTACCTAGTACATAACAGCCGCTCACTAACTATTGAATAAAACATGAGTAAACACATACGTGATCAGAAGGGGTCTTGGTTAAAGGTGCAGTGAATGGAAGACAGAAATAGGATGCAGTGGGCCCAACAGTGCCAATCACCACCATGAGACACCATCGGGAATGTTACTATTTGGCACTTTTCCTGATACCCACATTTTCCCCAATAGACTTTTGCTACTCTTCCCATTGCCTTGCCAATGTTTCCCACACCAGTACCCATGGTTCCCAACTTTTAGCTAAATGAGTATATATTTCATTACAACATCTTAAATCTGTCTCAGACCTGAGGCTCAAATAAGGCATATGCCTGACTACATGATACTCTTTACTGCAAGGCATTCTCCTACTTCCCTAAGGAAGAGATCCAAAAAAGGTTTAGGTTGAACTTAAAAATGTAGACTTTTAGGAATATAGATTAAGTAATTATGTGTCTACATACACTGTTTAATTTGTTGATTGTTATGCATGTATATTTAAACATAGTCTCTAAAATATTAACTTTTAAAATTCATTTTGAGAGAGAGAGAGAGAGAGAGAGAGAGAGAGAGAGAGAGAGAGAGAGAGAGGAAGGGGGAGAGAGAGAGAAACATTGGTATGAGAGAGAAACATTGATTGGCTGCCTCCTTCACCCGACTGGGGATCAAACTCACCACCTGGGTATGTGCCTGAGTGGGAATCAAACCCACCACCTTCTGGTGCACAGGACAACGTGCCAACCAACCAAGCCACACCGACCAGGGCTAAAATAATGACTTTTTAATTTAAGTTTTTTGAAACAGTTTTAGTACTAGTACTTCCGGGTGAATCTTAAGTCTTTTGACATAGCTTTCCAAAGCATGTCACCTGGCTTCCATTAAGTTATTTGAGATATAACACTTTTTGAATCTCTGGGTGATGCTGTCCTGGGAATTTTTATCACAGATCACAAGTCCCTCTCATATAATACAAGAACATTTTTTCATTCATTTTTTAGAGTAGTTTCATGAGTCTCACAATGTAATCATACACTACATATTAAATTGATTATAAAAAGTCTTCTTTACCACAACAAATAAGCCAGCAACTGTGACATACAATCTTTGCAAAGATTATGTACTAAATCTTTTTTAAAATGTATTTCCCATCTTTTTTTATTTAACAGTTCCTTTAAGATGACCTCTTACAAGCATTCTAGACCAGCAGCGATTCCTGCTGGTTCAAGCTAATATGTCCTCCCCCAACAGGACCTTATGATGCAATAAAGGAATTAAGAGAGCATGCCCCATAATAGAAGGGAGCTTTTAACTCCTAACTATAAAGCAACTTCCACTCTTGGATTCAAGAACATTGGGGGAAAACCTTCTGTTATATTTGGAAGTGTTCTATAAGTTTATTTCCTTTTTATTTTTCTTTTAAAAACAGAAACCTTTTGCTCTTTAGGCTACTATGATGATTTAAAAAGTAAATCATAAGGATATGTAGAGTGATCAGTTGCGATTGGATTAATACATAACTTTCCAGTTGTCAAGTCATAATAGGTTTTGAGAGAGATATTTTTATTGTGAATTAAAGGAGTGTGTGTGTGTGTGTGTGTGTGTGTGTGTGTGTGTGTGTGTGTGTAATGCCATAATTATGGGTCGGTCTCTAGTAATTAGAAAGTTTCATGTGGTGAAGAGCAAGCAAATTGGTTTAAGTGGATCATTAGAAGAAGAAAACAAGTTGAATTTGTTTGTGATTTTGATGGCAGGGGGCATCAAAGTAGTTTGGTACACTTAACAGTTTATTCTATTTATAATTGTACAGGTTCTTAGTTTTGCAACATTTAATATACAGTTTATATATTTATATATGTTTCAGGCTACATTATTGGAATTTTGAAGACATGAAAACATCAGATGAACCAACCTGCAACATCTTGGATTCAGATTGGAAGATGAAGAGAAAGTTTAAAGAATGTGGCCTATAAAGGCGGGTAGTACCTGGAAATATTAACCGACTCGCATTGTAAAAATGAGACTGGTTTCTAAAGAGTAGAGATTATTTTAGTCCAACATCAAGGTTCAAGACAAAATGTTGAACTAAAAACTTTACCCACATCCCGTCCCCCACTTCAGACAGGTACCAGCATTAGTGAATATGGTTTTCCTTAGCCAGAAGCACTCCGCTTTACCCATGTAGACCATCCTTAGGAATTAAATATTGGTTATTTAATGTAGATTATAATGGGAAACTGATTTTTTCCACAATGGCAGATTTCAAGGACTTGGTTCCAAACTGAGCCGGAGCATCCCACTGCATTTTGTACAGTCTGGGAACAGCTATGCTGCACTGGCCGTTTTTGAAGGCCATCATGCCCTGTAATATAAGGATATCATCTTCTTGCTGATATCTTTGGAGCGTCCCAAGCAGACACAGAAAATGAATGGAGGCAAGGAGTGTGACGGAGGGGACAAGGATGGAGGTCTTCCAGCTATACAAGTTCCTGTGGGTTGGCAGCGCCGTGTGGATCACAATGGAGTGCTTTATGTCAGGTGAGCCCTTGTGACTACCTATGTTACCTCCAAGTTGCAGTCCCAAAATTAAGGAGGTAGAGCCTGTTCTTCCGAGGGAGGAAAATATTGTGACTGACAGCACCTCAAATAAATCTGAATAAATGAATTTGTGCTGGAAATATTCAACTGTTTTTATTCTGCCCTATTTTGCGATGTAAATTGCCTTAGGTTACAAGAGAGAATTTTTACGCATTACTTGTGTTTATATAACGTGTCGTTCTGCTTATCTCTGTAACAAGGATAAAGAAAAATGGAAGATTTCTAAAAGAAACATAGGCATCATTACCACATTCACAAGGGAATGTAAATACTAGAAATAGACCCAAGGTCCCTCGACAATGTTATTCTATCCTCCGGAGTGCTTCAGCTGGATTTTCCAAAGGAAGGTGGAGTGTTTATATTTATAGGCAGTTTTAATTAGTAGACTTCTTAAAGCCTTATATTAGGTACAAATAACTTTCCTATTTTTTTCTGCACTGTTTTAAATCTATATTCTTGCATATTATAGTAAAAATGAAAAGGTCACGATGGAGATGGCTCTTCAGCTCTCACATAAAAATCATACAAATAAAATGCAAATGCCTGCTCTACAGAATTTTGAGGGCAAGTATCTCTTATAGAACAAGTTGAATGGAATAACTGAACTGTTGGCAAGAAGTTTCAGTCTTATTATTGAACTAGAGGCCCGATGCACAAAATGCGTGCAAGAGTAGGCCTTCCTTCCCCCAGCACCCTCTGGCACCCGGGACCAGGGCTTCCCTCGCACCCCCGGAAGGTCGTCAGGTCTAATTATCATATTACGCTTTTATTATTATAGATGATTGACACCTAAGTTCCTTACTTAGCAGTTTATATGAAAAGTTAGGACACCATAAAATCTCTCTTTGTTATGTAATAAACGACTACTAGAAATAGAACTTTTTAAAAGTTATCATGTCGCATCATGATATTAATGCTGTTACTTTAAATGCAGTTATTCGTATCTCTGCTTCAACGGAATTCTTCATTTGTTCAAAGATGTATTTATATGAATGAGGTATTTGCTGTTATATAAACATAAATTATTTCATGCCATAACAACTCAAAATTCAGTTCAGAGTCTGTCCTGCGTTTGTTTGATGTAAGGTGCTTCTGGAGGTAAACTTAATTACCAATTGAAATTCTCTGGCACATAATTCTTTTGTTTCTGGGATGCTAAAGATGTGCTCTATATTAAGAGGAGTGAAGGAATACGAAAGCAGGGGATGTGGAGCCTGTCCTGTTAAGATGGACACACAGGTCACTTTCTCAAGTGTTCCTATTGCCAGTGCTGTTAACAAACTGCCAGAAATACTGTGTTATTAATGTAATATAGCAAGGTGTCAGTGTTACTGTTCATATTTATTATTGTTCTAGTCTGTAAGGACAAACATGTATCCATCTTAGAGTAAATGAATCTGGGATCTTGAAGATCTAATTTTTTTAACTTTATCTTCATTCCTATGAAAGATCAATCAGCTTTTCAGATTGCTGAAAACTAAATTAAAACAAGCTACTAAGTCTGGGAATCTGTCAGTTATCTTGTTCATGATTTTCCACGTGTAGGTAGATTCCGCTATCTGTTAGTGTGAGTTAACGTGAGTTCTCCAAATCCAAGTCTCTGCACTAAAAATTATTTTGAAAACTGACTTTGCCAGATAAGGTAAAACACCTTCAAATAAATTAAGCCAGTATGGGTTTGATTTGTTTGTAAGGAGTTAAATTACTGCTTGGACACATAGAAGGGGCTAGCCCTCCTATAGCTCCCTTCTCAATGTGCAGTTTGCTTGTAATTTTTAGGTTTGTCTCCAGCTGCTCCTGCCTCGGGGAGGAGTTGAGGCTGCACATTAAATTTCCCACCTGCTTCCAATCTTCTAAGCGTTATCCATGCCATAAGACTTGTAGCTGTTTTTTACGTTAATTATTACTTTAAAAAGTTAATTAAAGAGGTACAGCTGAAGAAAAGAGGCCAGCTGACTGACTGAGAGGAAGTGTTTTTGAAGTGTCTAGAGTGGAATACTCTAATAGAATTCAGGAACTCTTGTCTTCAGGTTTAATTTTACAATTAAATTCCTCTAGGATTTAGTCTGTACACCTTCTTTAACTGTAAAATGTTAGGCAATTTCTTGTCACAAAACTCATGAACTTTACACATGATAACTGTTGGGTGATTGTGTTTTATGTAAATTAGCAAACCTCCAACACCTCTGGTCATTACCACTGTCATGGAACTCAAGTCGATAAGATGGGAATTATTATTTTTTACAGATCATTTGAAAAACGTTGTTAGCCTCAATAAACGAGTGAGTGAATTGACAAAGTTGAGGATTTTAATTGAGATTTTCTATATGTATAAGTCACTTACATGATTGTCCATAAATAAAACATGAATTGCATTTTAAAGTTGGTTCACTTGTAGATGCAAAACTGCTCCCTGTGTTTTTGTAGAAGCAGAATAGTCTACCCCTAGTAGTGTAATCCTTTGTATTATTTCTGGTCAAATCCAAATTTGATCAGAATGTGTAAGTGAAGGTTTTGCTAAACAGTCATAAATAAAAGACCATTCTTGAATGAAAAGTGTGTAATAATTTTCAAGGTTGTCAAAATCAGTATTTTAATAATAAAAGTCTTAAAATGCAAATTGCCCATTTTAAACTAACCCTCACTATACTAGTAAATGAAAATCAAAGAAAATTAAAAATAAAAATAAAAACCAAGAGTAATAACCTTGGCAGCAGTACCCATTTACCAGCCAGAAGATCCGCAAGGCACCCCTTTCTGCCACCTAAAGTCCTCTTTCCTCAAGAGTCCCCTCATCCTTTGTCAGATCTGCTTGGCTCCTCTCTCCTTGTCAGTACCATTTGGCTCTTCAGTGTAATTTGAGTTGGGCCACACAGGTCTATCTTCAAAGAAACACATGGATGAGGGAGGAAAAAAAAAAGAAACCTATTTTTACATAGGGATAACTCGGTTCTGGACTCTAAGATTAAAGGAAAGATTACTTGCTAGCTCCAACTTTTACACACTTAGTGACTTTCTGGTTTGACCTCCAATGTGTTCCTAAATTTCAGTTTTTCCTCCAACAGCTTCAAAAGTAGATCTTCTGGTTTAAAATGATAATGATTACTTTCATGTTGTTTTCTTGTTCCTTTCCTGCCTGCTCCTGTCGTCTTAAGAATAGCATTTTTCCCCCATCCCAGTCCACGCTTGGTTTTCCAAATACTTTTATTTAATTTTCTAGGGAGATCTGTCTTTTTCTCAGAAATATTTTGGTTCAAAAGAAAGAGTGATGGTGCTAAAAGGCTATAATTTAGCATCTAGCATAATATTGACAAAGAGAATGCTTTTCCCTAGTAGGAAAATATTATCCTCTGAAGGACAGTAGGACTATAAATTATGCCTTTTTTCATATGATATGTGCAGTCAGAATTATTTCCTGATGCTCTTTTGAACTATTTTTACAGTCCCAGTGGGTCTTTGTTATCTTGCTTGGAGCAGGTTAAAACATACCTGCTTACTGACGGAACATGCAAGTGTGGCTTGGAATGTCCTCTTATTCTTCCCAAGGTAACCATTTCACAACAGTTCTATCAGCAGTTTTCTCTTTTCTAGGTGATTCGTATATTAGCTTTTCTCATTTGGCATTTCGTTTTTATATTACTTCTCCAATGACATATGCATTTTAAAGTCTATCTAATTAGGTATCTTTTGCATGCATTTTGGAATGCTTAATGACTGTGGAAAGTGGTTCAAATCCCAGAGTCATTTTCAAAGGTGACAAACCTATATTCGTATTAAATACTTTATGAAAGCCATTTTTGCACATTTTATTAGAGCTCTACCTATGTTCACCATTTAATAGTGCAGTAGTTTTTCCCTTCCTGTAACTGCTCAATCTGCAATGTTATTTTTAGCACTGGTGTTGATAAATCTGCCACCAGTGCTTCTAAAATGATGAAGCTGAACTGAACCTTCCTACTCAAAATGTGAAACGGTTTTACTCCTTTGCAAGGTAGAAAGTAAAAACTGTTTAAAATGATAAAATATTATTTATTATGGAAGCAGGTTCTTGTTCTCTGAGTATCTATTATAGTGCTAATTTTAGAAATAAAATTAACAGACACCTTTTTTCTTCTTATTTGTGTCACCTTCACCTCATTCCAAAAAAGAAAAAAGCATTTGAAACATCTCATAAATATATACACAATAAGATTATTTTAATAGAAGAGTAGATTTTTAATAGGTGAAAAGGTAATATTAATATAGTAATAAAATAAAGCCAAAGGAAAAGTTAGCACATAGAAGTGTCAGCTTTTGGATTTTTAAACTGAACTTCATCTATTTTTGTACTGTTATAACAGCAGGAAACATAGCATCAGGGAACGTAGATAATATACCTTTGCATATATTTATCTTGGCTATCGTGGAATTAGGATAATTTTCATTATTTACTGTGCCACTAAAAGCCGGAGTACTATTAAGTTACATAAAGTTGCTTTTCTTAAATAACTTGAGAAAGTTTTATTCATATTGATGGCCTAATCTATGTAAAGAAATGTTTTAACAAAGCAACTTTTTATGTTATGCTTTTACGACATGCTCTAAACTGAGGCCATTCTTTTTCCAGGTGTTTAATTTTGATCCGGGAGCTGCTGTGAAGCAGAGAACTGCAGAAGATGTTAAAGCCGATGAAGATGTCACAAAGCTATGCATCCATAAAAGGAAAATCATCGCAGTGGCCACACTTCATAAAAGCATGGAAGCCCCACATCCTTCTCTGGTGCTTACCAGTCCCGGAGGAGGAACAAGTATGTAACCTGGGGGAGGGTTTAGGAATCCCACCCCACCCCTCCTCTCCTCGCGGAGTCATGGGAGATCACTTTGCCAAGCATTTTCCAAGTCCACTTTTCAAACAGGCACAATGCTTTTAAAGTTATGAGTGTCGTATCATTTTATTACAAGTAGCACACTCATTCTGAAAAATCCCATGAAGTTGTTTCCCAAAATGTCCTATCCAAATCACCTCGTTAAACAATTAGAGTCTGATTAGCACATGCACATATTATGGGGGTATGGAGCTGGGCTAACAGAAGAGAAAGTGATACAGATTTTTAGGAATCAGAGGTAGCCTTTTTCTTAAGGTTGTACTTGAAGAATGTGTGGTATCAAATCCTCAAATGCAACTAATAATATTTTTAAGAACTAGCAGTGTTATTTTTTTCTGTCATTTTATAGCTATTTATTGAGCACCTACTAGTAGATCTTACCTTTTTAGGAACTTTTTATACCACCCCCAACACACCTGTATGCATGAATGCATGCTTTCATATTTTTTTAAAATTTCAAAATGCAGAAAAATTGCATGAACAGTTTATTGAATACCACATACCCTTCATCTAGATTCACCAATTAACAATTTTGTTTTAGAAATTACCATGAAAATTGACCCCTAAATAGTTCAACACACACAGACATTCTCCTCACAAACCAAAATCTAATTGTCACATTTAGGAACTTTAACACTGATATAATGTTATGATACAATATTATCTAATATGTAGTCTGTATTCAAATTCCTTCTGTTGTCCTAATAATTTCTTGTAGTTATTTTTAAACCAAGTTTTCTTTTTTAATCCAGGATGCAATCAAAGATTGTGCACTGCAATTAGTTGTTCCATTTCTTTACTCTGCATCAGTTCCCCATCTTTCGTTCTTTCATGGCACTGCCATTGTTGAAGAGTCCAGGTCAATGTTAATAGGACGTTCCTCAATTTGGATTTGCTTGATTGTTTCCTCATTTATATTCAAGTTAAAAATTTTTTGCTAGGAATACTGCACAGGTGATGTTCTGTCCTCCTCAAGAGGCACATAATGTCAATTTATCCCATATTGATGACATTAAGTTTGATTGCTTGGGTATAGTTATATCCATCTGATCACTCCATTGTTAAGGTACTTTTCACCTTTAAGATTAATATGTAATCTGTGGAATTATGATTTGAGACTGGGGAACTTCTTTTTGTAATGGCTAGTATATAAACTCCCTCCAAAATATTACAATCTACTTAGCACTTGAATAGTAATTCAGAATAAAATGTGACTAAGTGCCAAAGTGTTTGCTTATGAAGGCTAAGTGATGTTCTGCAGAGCTCTAATACAGCTGATGAGTGGCCCCTGTAGTGATCAGAGAAGGCTTTACAGCAGAACTCAGATTTGAACCAACCTGGAAAGTTTCAGGATTTAGAAATATGAGGGAAATAAGAAAATTCTTGTCCAGAATGAGTAAATCGATAATGTGGAAACTAATCTGACTTGAGGGGAAGATTAAGCCTGCGTAGGTAAGTTGGGGTCAAATTATGGACTTACAAAGAGGAGCAGTTGTGACATCAGACAGGTAAAGATTGACACTCAGCACTCATGTGAGGAGAGCAGGGAGATAAGTTAGCAGCTATGACCAGAGAGCTCCTTCCCAATAACCTCTAACCTTTACGCTTGAACAGGAATGATCAGAAAAATATTGCTCCACTGAGGTATGTAAGAAAAAACAGTCTTTTAAGGGATTTTTTTTTCTTTTGATGAGCTACATTTTTTTTAATTAAAAACAAATATTGCCACAGTTTAAAGACATTTAATAGTAATAAATTATTTAACATTTACCGATATCTTGCCACCTCAACGTAGCTATGGTTTCACTTTTGTATATGCTCATATCTGCTGCTGTCTCATATCAAACAGTTTTACCTCTTTTTACATTCTGCCTTGTTGCCTTTTTAATGACCACAACAGAGTCTTGATCTGGTTCTCAACTTTTCATATCTTAACAAGTTTCATTATTAAAAAATAAAGATAAATATTTAACTGGAACTGGTTTAAGAGGCATATCTCCATCCACTCTTACAATGGTATACTTTATTGGATTAATTGCCTCTTTTACTAGCTTCAGACATAACATTTATATCAACTTCCTAATTTTATGAAATTGATATCTATCTTAACATTTAATTATTTAAAGCTCAACCTTAAATGTTAAGAAGACTCATATAGTAATTTTCACCTCCAACATACATAAACATACATTTACTTTCTGCTTATTCTTTTGAAAGGTCTACATGAAAGCCCTTGATGGGTACCTAGCATTTATATTTGCCAGCTCTTCTAATACTTCAGTTCCTACGTGTAACATAACAGCGGCATGACTTTTATTTGTTTATTTAGTATTCCTGTTATTTTAAAGATGGTAACTAGGTTTCCCCAGGTATGGAAGAAATCCTTTTTAAAACACAGCTATTTTCTAAATTCTGTTGTATGTTTTTTTCTGTCTGTTGTACATTTAAAAATGCCAATGTCTACATTTTTAATCACTTAACTATAAATAATTATAGAAATACCCAGGAAAAGACATAAGTCTAGAGTTTTGTTCCCGAAGAGAACACAGTCAATCCTGTAATAAAGCTAATACAGGTACCTGTGTTCCTACCATGAGCCATGCCTAGTACCCCAACTACTTTTCATATATTATTTTTATTGCAAACTTTGAAAATCTCTTTTTAACAAGAAAATAAGTTCAGTTGAGTTTATCTGCTACAATTCTCTTATATCATTGGTTCTCAACTTTTCATATATTCAGAAATTACTCTATCCAGAATCTTCACCATGCTAGAAACAGAAAGCCCACATTTCCAAAGAAAAATATATGTTCGCTGCATTCTCTTACTTTTTGAATGCACCCTACCTGGATTTCATTTTTTAAGACAAAGTACTGTCTTAAAAAAAACATTATCTGATTTTATCTGTGTACTGCCTCGCAGGTAGGAGAAGTATATTTATCTTAGATGTGCAGGTATCCATGTAAGTAGATGTACTTCTGATTGCAAATGAATCCAGGTGTACTTGCCAATATGTTGTAAGTCCCAGAATGGGGATGGCCAGCATATAGTATGAATGAAGCCACTCTAACCCCTGTGCCTGTAGTAGACTCAGTGGCATTTTCTACAGAGCCCAGCAAGGCTCAGCATCCTTTCCATCATAGCCCTCTAATCAGCCTGTTGATGGGACCAGTTGATGGGACTTGGCCTAGGAAATTTTATTTTATTTACTATCCCTGTTTTACAAGGTACAACTTTATAAAATAGTGAAACATCCTTAGGGGGCTAAAAAACTTGAACCTAGAATTCTAACAAGATAAAGTGAAAGCTCTGTCCAGTGGGCCAGCTTGCTTTTGTTGCCTGCATTCTGTTGATCTCCAAAGGGGCTGAAGGGACTCCAAAGGCCAGTGAGGGAGAGATGCACTCTGTAGGAAGAGGAATGGCAATTAGAACCCAGTACTAAAGATTTGGCAGTCTAAATGTTGCATAGGAATTCTATCCTAATAAAAGAATTGCAGCCTTTTACCTGAGTTGACTGGCTAAAGTTGTTTTTACAGTAATGACTGGTTAACGTCAAAGAAACTGCAGTGTTAGAGACTTGATTGGAAATTAGGTGTGATTGCAGTATCACTGCATTTACCATTGTCATCACTCCCATTATAAAAGATTCTGAACTCCATTCACTTAATTCACAAAAATTAAGACTCTTTTACAGTGAAAATGTTGGGATACAGAAGCATTTCTATAGCTGTCCTGATGAGGTTTCAGTAAGATAACAGAAACATTTATAGGGCAACAGATTTTCTGGTAAAAATGGCAATTCATTTAAATCACCCAAGAAAATATGCCACACAGATAATAATTTTCTATTGTAATTGTGTTCCTAAAAATTTCAAATTCAACAAGATAGTAGCATCATCAATTTTATGTGGGCTGTCAATCTTGATTTTGCATATTCTAAATAGTATTAGAATGGCGAATGTCAGTATGAACTGATTCAGATTTTCATTCTTTCTCAACAGATAAGAGGCAAACAAGCATAATGAGCAGTTAATTGAGGACCTTTGACCAACTAAGGGAGAATAATGTGCACTTTTAAATCAAAATTTAATGTAGAGTGGAGAATTTCTAGTTGCATGGAGGCACGGCTTCTATTTGCAAAGTTCTATTTCCAGCTGCCCTTCCTTCCTCATTTCCTCCCTCCTTATCCCCCACCCCTAAATACAAAAGAACTGAGATGACTTAACAGATTTTTCTTTTTCTTTCACATCAGATGCAACTCCAGTAGTACCTTCACGGGCAGCAACTCCAAGATCTGTAAGAAATAAGTCTCATGAAGGAATTACAAATTCTGTAATGCCTGAATGTAAGCATCCTTTCAAGTTAATGATGGGATCATCAAATGCCATGGGAAGGCTCTATGTACAAGAACTGCCTGGAAGCCAGCAACAAGAACTCCACCCCGTCTACCCCCGGCAAAGATTGGGCAGCAGTGAACATGGACAGAAATCTCCATTCCGTGGCAGCCATGGAGGCCTGCCCAGCCCAGCGTCGTCAGGATCCCAGATTTATGGAGATGGCTCAATCTCTCCAAGGACTGACCCACTTGGAAGCCCTGATGTTTTCACAAGAAATAATCCTGGTTTTCATGGAGCTCCCAATTCCAGTCCTATTCACCTGAATAGGACTCCTCTCTCTCCACCTTCAGTAATGCTACACGGTTCTCCTGTACAGTCATCCTGTGCAATGGCTGGAAGGACTAATATACCTCTTTCCCCAACCTTGACTACAAAGAGTCCAGTAATGAAAAAACCAATGTGTAATTTTTCAAATAATATGGAAATACCACGAGCAATGTTCCACCACAAACTACCCCACGGCCCACCTCCCCCTCCTCCACCTTCTTGTGCTCTTCAGAAAAAGCCATTAACATCTGAGAAAGATCCACTTGGCATTCTTGACCCTATTCCTAGTAAACCGGCGAATCAGAACCCTGTTATCATTAATCCAACTAGTTTCCATTCAAATGTCCACTCTCAGGTACCTGTGATGAATGTAAGCATGCCTCCTGCTGTTGTTCCTTTGCCAAGTAATCTCCCTTTGCCAACCGTAAAACCTGGTCACATGAATCATGGGAGTCATGTTCAAAGAGTTCAGCATTCAGCTTCAACCTCCCTGTCCCCTTCTCCAGTGACATCCCCAGTGCACATGATGGGGGCTGGAATCGGAAGGATTGAGGCTTCGCCCCAAAGATCACGCTCATCTTCCACATCATCAGATCATGGAAATTTCATGATGCCACCTATAGGACCCCAAGCGGCTTGCAGTGGTATTAAGGTTCCACCCAGGTCACCGAGGTCAACAATAGGGTCCCCACGGCCATCAATGCCATCAAGCCCTTCCACCAAGTCCGATGGACATCATCAGTACAAGGATATCCCTAACCCATTAATTGCTGGAATGAGTAATGTACTAACTACCCCAAGCAGTGCCGCCTTTCCTGCTGCATCTGCCGGAAGTGGTTCTGTAAAGAGTCAGCCTGGTTTGCTGGGAATGCCTTTAAATCAGATCTTGAACCAGCACAATGCTGCCTCCTTTCCAGCAAGTAGTTTACTCTCAGCAGCAGCCAAAGCACAGCTAGCAAATCAAAACAAACTTGCTAGTAACAACAGTAGCAGCAGTAGCAATTCCGGAGCTGTTGCTGGCAGTGGCAACACTGAAGGACATAGCACTTTAAACACCATGTTCCCTCCTACTGCCAACATGCTTCTCCCAACAGGTGAAGGGCAAAGTGGTCGAGCAGCGCTAAGAGATAAGCTGATGTCTCAGCAAAAAGACTCACTGCGGAAAAGAAAACAGCCTCCTACCACAGTTCTGAGTTTGCTCAGACAGTCTCAAATGGATAGTTCTTCAGTTCCCAAACCTGGACCCGACTTGCTGAGGAAGCAAAGTCAGGGTTCTTTCCCCATCAGTTCAATGTCTCAGTTACTACAGTCTATGAGTTGTCAAAGCTCTCACTTGAGTAGCAATAGTACCCCGGGTTGTGGGGCCTCCAATACTGCTTTGCCTTGCTCTGCTAACCAGCTGCATTTTACAGACCCCAGTGTGAACTCCAGTGTTCTTCAGAATTCACTGACACAGAACATCCCTGTACGAGGGGAAGCCGTGCACTGCCACAACGCAAACACTAACTTTGTTCACAGTCACAATTCAGTCCCCAACCACCATCTTGCAGGTTTGATCAATCAGATTCAGGCTAGCGGGAACTGTGGGACGCTCAGTCAGTCGGGCATGGCTTTAGGAAACTCATTACATCCCAATCCACCTCAGTCAAGAATTTCAGCGTCCTCCACTCCAGTGATACCAAACAGCATTGTTAGCAGCTATAATCAAACAAGTTCTGAAGCAGGTATGGTTTTCTTAGAAAAAAGTACCCAGAGGTACTAAACTTTTCTACATTTTTTAAAGTTTGTACCAAAATATTTATTATGATAAGCAATGATCCTCTTTCCCCATTGTGAAATTCTCATCGTTTCTTTAGTATTTATAATGTTATTTACAGAATGCTAGGGATTTGTCTACTAGGGAAAAACAACAGCCATGGGGATTCCATTTGTTTCCGTTATTTGTTGTCAATCTGTGTCATTTCGAATATCATTCAACTTTCAGTTGGTCGTGTAACCACTGGACTCTTAACTACAGAAGCCATAGAAGGCAGGGCATGCTGGCTTATGAGCCAGGTTCTTGTCTCTTGCAATATAAAATCTGTGTCCCCTAGCTTTTGTTTGTATTCAGGTAAATGAAGCTCATCTTGGAAAACCCAAAAAGGCAAAGATAAACGGATGTTCTGTTCTTGCTGCTGACCAGAAATAGGTGAATGGATAGGAAGAGGTAACCAGAAGTTGTATGAAGTAGAAAGCTGTCTTCTAATGTGTTTTCTTATCCTAGTTTGCTATCATTTATTATTATTTGTTTGAGAAAATTAAAAAATGGATATTGACTACTCCCTTTTTAAAAAGGGTAATAATTTAAGTTTTCTAATAAAAAAAAGGCTTGAAAACCTGATTTCCAGAATTTTTGATCTTGATATTGTTTTACAGTTTTCTTGTAGAACTAAGCCATTATTTTTAGCATTGACATTTAGGTTTTGAACCCAAATTTATTGTATCTTTTCATCCACTATTAATGGAGACAAGTCTATTTAAAAGCAGACACATTAGAAAGAACTGCATTTTGTGCAATAGATTCCTCAGAAATTATTATTTTAAAAAATGTAAAGAGGGAACTTCATCAAGACATCAGAAAACTTGGCCATGAAAACATTAGAAAGAATACCCAAAAACACAGCATTAATGATTTGGGAGATTTGTGGGAAATGCCAGGGAGAAAATAAAAGGTGGTTGTTGAGACAAAATTCAAATATGAAAATAGTGGGCTTTAAAAACCAGAGTGCTTCTGAAAATGAGAAGACTGCTGAGGCGTCTCATAATAAGCTGCTGTACAGGCATGTGTAGACTGTATCGTACGGCCTTGCTGGGACAGCACTGTGACCTACATCTTTGTTACTGATGGTTAGATCAAGTGTTTCTTCCCAGTGTCACTACCTACACCTGCCATCCTCCACAACTCATGTTCGTGTTGTCTTGTTGTCAGTATTTAATGCAGAACTATTCATTGGCCTCTTGTGTTAAAAAGAATATGAGGTGGAGAAGATAATTGAAATCATTAGTGCCTTCTTGATAGTCTTAGTCTAAGGAATTTCATGAAACTATGTTTTGTGTTTAACAGGATACTTATTACAAATGGGCTTCTAGCTTTTCAATGACTCATATTCCTTTTTAGATAATTCCACACAAATGAAAATTTAATCTTGTGCACTTATCAGATTAAAGTTATGTGAAATAAGAAACTATTTTAAATATTTATTAAGCATACTTTCAATCATTTATATGAGAATTGTTAGTTTTGTTGTATTATATCTTCAAATTTTGATACCCCTTACCTCAACTTACTTTGTTTCAGGTCTCAGTTCATATTGAAAAGTGTATGTATTTTATTAATTATGTATTTAAGTTTATATGTAAAGACAAACATTTATTTATATTCTTGTTTCATCTGGATGTCAATTGTAGACTTATTTTATATAGTCTTAAACATGTATTTTCTTGTTCCTCGCATCTGTGTAAAACATTGGATCCGGATTCCCAGTGTTGGGAGTATCAAAACACACAAGTTTAAAATTAATTAATGTAAGAAAAGTGCTGGCATATAAATAGCTAAAAGGGGTAAGAATAAATGTCTAGTAATGATATGGATGTGACCAGTCATATGTAAGCTAACAGAGAGCATGTGCTTGATGAAAACTTAGGTCAGTAAGAATCTTTAAAATATCAAACTTAATAAAATTAAATACTAATTAATATACATAGATTGAATATGCAGCTGGTTATGAAAATGAGTAGATTTACTAATTAATATAACTATTTTGATGAGCTGAACATCGAAGAGGTCTCTAATGCCATTTTTCTTTTTGATATGTAGTGAACTGTGTCACTGAATGTTCTGTCACTGTAATTGCTTACACTAAATATTTATTTACACTGACTTTGTTCATCCACCCAATAAGCACCCAGGCTGGGCATTCATTCATAGTCAGACAGCAGATGACGGTCACAATTATCTCTGTAAGTTTTGCTGGATATTCCTAACATACTAGTTAGATATTAGGTGAAAACACTTTATTCTTAAAATGTTACTTATAGCTATTATTAAGTACCTATTAATGTACCAGGTGATTTACCTAGATTATTTCTAACATATACAGCTTTCCAAAGCATAAGGCATCATTGTCCCCATTTTCCAGATGAGTAAATTGAGTGTCAGAGAACTTAACTGTCCAAGATCATATATAACTGAAATCAAATTTGAACTCGGGTTCATCTAATTCTAAAATTTGTTTTCTTTTCAGCTGCATAAGTTCTTCAACTGAAACATTTAGTGGTTAAAAAAACTCTTTTCACTTTCAACATCTTTTTTTTTTAATTAAATCTTTATTGTTCAGATTATTACATTTGTTCCTCATAACAACATCTTAAAAAAATACCCAACAGAAAATGAATTGAAGCATGTTACAAGCCACGTTTTTAAACTTGTGACAACAGTCGGTTAGTTTTGCCTTCTCTCTGTGGACTCAAATATTATAGTATACAACAATTAGAATGTTTGTGTCAATGCTGGTGAATTGTGAAAAATATCAAGAGAACTACCCTTCATTTGCTAATCTAATTTGGTGACCTTTATTTTAATGAATTGGTATCATCTGACTCAGATAAGAATGGGTTTCCTAGTGGATAACATGTCATTAGACTTTTAAAGGAGGCGACTATGCATTTACTAGTCTTGTCATTCGCAGTGTGATACACAGTGAGGGTAAGAGACTAAGGTAACACAGGCCAGCTCTGCTCCACGGTAACGGAGCCTGGACAGAGCTCAGGTGGCCTCCTATGCAATCCAGAGCCCTTTATCCACTTTCTGAAGCAACAGCTCAAAAATGTTACATTAAGACATCTATTAAGACAAAAAATCACTTGCTCTCAAAATGCTTTATTCTATTGGTAATTTATTTTCTAAATCTTCATTTAAAGAGTTTTTCTATTACAAACAACCCAGGTACAGGTTTTTATTTTTTAATTTTTTTGGCCTGAAAGTGAATTCTATGGGACACACTCAAGTATGGGAATTGGAGGCAAAGATAATTTTTTTAAAAAATCAGATAAAAGATATGAAATGCTTAGAAAACATTTTGTGAAACTTAGATATCAAGGCTTTATTGGTTCTATTTGGAGTTTTGAAATTGCCTTTCCACTAAAGCTCTCTAAACATTTGCATTGTAAAGTTTACAGGTTTCTCTTAGCGTTTTGGATATCAGATTTTAAGTAAGGTCTAATATTTCCACGTGACAGACCAAGAAACTGACCAGTAGGAGGTGGCAAAGCAAAGTTGTGAATCTGACCACCAACTCCCAAAGTTCCTGATCTCAGTGCAAACACTCAAACTGCCGAAGGCAGGCTGTTCAGAGAGCCCTCACCCATGTACTTTGAAAGTAACTTTCAATGTATGAAGAGAGACAGGTTTCAGCATGTTTTGTGGGGGTTTGGTTTAGAGAAGAATCCAAAATCAAGTGCCCTTGACCCAGATTTATTTTCTCCGGGCCTCTGCCTCTGCCTGCCTGCTGACCTCAGAACAGAAGCACACATGCCAGGAACCCGGGCCTCTGCAGGGACTTAGCTCCGTCAGTGCCCAGCCACCAGGGCCTCTGTAAGGACTTAGCTCCGTCAGTGCCCAGCCACCAGGGCTCTGCAAGGACTTAGCTCCATCAGTGCCCAGCCACCAGGGCCTCTGTGGGGACTTAGCTCCGTCAGTGCCCAGCCACCAGGGCCTCTGTTGGGACTTAGCTCCATCAGTGCCCAGCCACCAGGGCCTCTGTGGGGACTTAGCTCCGTCAGTGCCCAGCCACCAGGGCCTCTGTGGGGACTTAGCTCCATCAGTGCCCAGCCACCAGGGCCTCTGTGGGGACTTAGCTCCGTCAGTGCCCAGCCACCAGGGCTCTGCAAGGACTTAGCTCCATCAGTGCCCAGCCACCAGGGCCTCTGAGGGGACTTAGCTCCGTCAGTGCCCAGCCACCAGGGCCTCTGTGGGGACTTAGCTCCATCAGTGCCCAGCCACCAGGGCCTCTGTGGGGACTTAGCTCCGTCAGTGCCCAGCCACCAGGGCCTCTGTGGGGACTTAGCTCCATCAGTGCCCAGCCACCAGGGCCTCTGTGGGGACTTAGCTCCGTCAGTGCCCAGCCACCAGGGCTCTGCAAGGACTTAGCTCCATCAGTGCCCAGCCACCAGGGCCTCTGTGGGGACTTAGCTCCGTCAGTGCCCAGCCACCAGGGCCTCTGTGGGGACTTAGCTCCATCAGTGCCCAGCCACCAGGGCCTCTGTGGGGACTTAGCTCCGTCAGTGCCCAGCCACCAGGGCCTCTGTGGGGACTTAGCTCCATCAGTGCCCAGCCACCAGGGCCTCTGAGGGGACTTAGCTCCAACAGTGCCCAGCCACCAGGGCCTCTGCAAGGACTTAGCTCCGGCAGTGCCCAGCCACCAGGGCCTCTGTGGGGACTTAGCTCCATCAGTGCCCAGCCACCAGGGCCTCTGGGGGACTTAGCTCCATCAGTGCCCAGCCACCAGGGCCTCTGCGGGGACTTCGCTCCGGCAGTGCCCAGCCACCAGGGCCTCTGTGGGGACTTAGCTCCATCAGTGCCCAGCCACCAGGGCCTCTGCAAGGACTTAGCTCCGGCAGTGCCCAGCCACCAGGGCCTCTGTGGGGACTTAGCTCCGGCAGTGCCCAGCCACCAGGGCCTCTGTGG